TCTTATTTTCATGTTAGAGTTAGATATTTTTTTCTTCCTCTGAGAGATGGAAGATATAGATTGCTGCTTTTTAAGAGAAAAATAAAAAATAAAAGTCCCCAAGAGTCACTTAGCTTCTCAAGGAGAAGACATTTGCCCCCTCAATCTTGAATCATTACAACTTGAGAGCAGTAGTCTTGTGTGGTGTTTTTTGAGGAAACATGGACGAACTGTTAAATTATGTAATTCTAGAGCTCTGAAGAAAGTTTTTAAGTATTTTAAAGAAAAAGCACACTGACACTGAGGAATTCTCATGTACTGAATATCTTTTGTGTGATGTCTCTAGGTTTTCACTGTCATCCTTTGGCTGTGTAAAATCAAACACGCCTCAGTTTCACTGAGTTAGGCAACTTCCTTCATGGTGTTTCAGTGACATTTCCAGAGTCAGGTAAACACACGTCTCATTTCTCAAAGAACTGTCATGTTCCTTTTCCTTGGGTTTTAGGAACTTCAAAGGATGTTAGTAAGTGTGTGTTTCAAACCTCTTGATATCATTGTTAATTCCTGTCCAGAAGCTGTAGTGGCAAGAGTGTGGGCTCAGGGCTTCACCCCATTCACCAATGAAATGCTGGAAGGTGATATTTAATGAACTGAAAGTTCTGCAGTTTCATGAAAGCAGTATGACCAAAAAAAGTAGCATTCAAAGGAGCCAGGGGTGGGTAACTGTCGTGGTCTCCTCGAGATTACAGAAGATGGCTGAAGCCAGACAGCTGCTGACAGAGTTTGAACCTCTCGGTTTTCAGATGTAAACCTTAAAAACCTAGAGCGCCAGCCCTCCCTGAGCTTCCTCTCTAAGGCTGAACTTCCTTCTGGAATGTGAGTTATTTCCATCTCTTTCCTCCGCCCTCCCATAGTCCAGCCACTTTATTCTATTTTGTAAATACTTTAAGAAAAGTTTTTAGATCATAATGTAATTACATCATTTCCTCTTTTCTTTTCTCAAGTTCATTGCTTCTTTTTCTTTAATTGTTGACACACACACACACATACACACACACATATATATTCTTAAATATAGAAATACAACCTTGTCTGTCTATAAAATGTTACTAGAATGGGGGCTGATTATTTGGTATTGGATAACCAATTGGTATGATCTTTCATGGTGAAGACTATTCCTCACCACTCACAAAGGAAACTTCTATTTGCAACATATCAGAAAACTACAATTGATTAAAATACAGAGTCATAGAACCCTATCCCAATGGCTACATCTACAACACATCTCCTGGACCTAAGGCTCAGTGATGATTGCAAAAGAGGGGACTGAAAGATTGCAAGATGCAGAGAAACAGAGGGTTTGTTGTGAGATGTTCTCTCCTAGGAATGTTAGCAGCTACACCCATAAAGTTGCATTCTATTTTAATCCTGTTTTACAATGAATCAAGCTTGATCCTGTTCCTGTCTTTTCACATCAGCTTTTTCTTCTACCCAGAGTAATTACTCTACTTTCTTCTGACGTCTGCCTGTTTCTCCAATTTGGTTATCCATGTTTTAGTTTTGAACTTTTAAATAAGAGGCACTACTCAAACTTTTCCCAAAGCCAAAGTCTTTAACATTAAAATGTCCAAAGCAATCAGCACAGGAAAAGCAACATGTAACAGACAGACTGCCCATGAGAAGAAGCTAATAAAGGACTCACAAGCACTGGTGGCAACAAGTTCATCTTTCAGAAATCCAAAGGGCCAGGCAGTTAAAGAGTAAGATGGTAGACATGGAAAACCTGCTCTTAGAAAATAAGTATAGAAGTTTCCTAAGAATGGAAACATACAAGTATAGAAACATGAGTACATATCAATGTAGAAAGTCCCCTATAAAATTTCTAAAGAATTTCAGGAAGAAAATAAAGATAGAATTTTAAAAATAAAACAGAGAAATTATTATTAAAAATTGTGACCTGAAGAACATCAAGTTGCAGGTTGCCAGTCTACTAGGCATAGTAAAAGGATGGAAAAAAAAAGAAATCACAGGACTACAGAGCCCAGGGGTTCACAAAGGGATTCTAGAGAACTTGAAGGGATTCTAAGGCACCAGAGGCCAGACACAAAGGCTTGAAATGTATTTCATATTTCTCCACAGACATCTTAGATACCACATAAAAGTCCATTTAAAATATTGAAGGGTGTGGGGGATAAAGACACCCTCAGATACACAGGTCACAAAATTCTATCTCCAACTGGCATCTCATAAGTAATTTATTACACCCTGTGTTCTCCCAAAGTTGTGTAAGCACAAGAAAAGATGCAGGAAATGAGGGGCAGGCTGAAGGCATGGGGAACAATGGCAGCGGAAGATGTTAGGCAGATGCTTTCACCATGTAGGTAGAAATAAATAGAACGTTGGACACATTGAACATCCTGAAAGGGCACTTAGGTCACTGAGAAAAGTTAGAGGTTGAATAAATTCCAAATATATAAGAATTAAACAAAGGAAAATGAACCAGGCACAGAAATGGAAGATAATTACTTACGGTTTATTTAATGAATAACCTGTGTTTGCAAATATATATTGATAAAGTATAGTAAGGTTATATTTGGATGATGAGGCAGGGGAGGAAAAGAAGGTAAACTTTGGTTTTCCATGGTCAAAAATAACCCTTAGTGCTAAAAATAGAAGAATTCAGAAACTAATTTTTGGTTCTTTTGCATAAAGTATTTACTTTGAAGCAATTAAAAAGCTGTGGGTGTGACACAGTTTCCTGTTCCCATTTTCCCCATGGTTACTATCCTGTGTCCTTAGGGCACATTTATGAAAACTGGGGTATCAGTACTGTTATAGTCCCATTGATTACACTCCAGATTTATATAGGCTCTTCTAAGTCTTGCATGGATGTCTTTATTCTTCTGTTCCAAGATCTTCTCCAGTATATAATATTGCGTGTAGTTGTTGTTTGTCTTTAGCTTGCTCTGAAATGTGACAGTCTTTATTTGATTGTTTCATGACTTTGGTAGTTTTGAGAAATAATCTTCAGGTATTTTGGAGCATGTCTGTCAATTTTGGCTTGTCAGATTTTTTTTTATTACTAAACAGAGATTCTGCGGAGTAGAAAGATTGGTATGGGGGAGGAATGCATGTCCTACCATATCCTGTCAGGATGCAATGACATCCATGTGACCTCACTGCCAGCACCCAGTGGGGCTAGCTAGGGCTGGTATACAGTTAGTATGTACATACACCACTGAGGGCTGCCCTCTCAGGAAGGTGTGATTCTCTGCTGCCATGATTTCTTTGGTTGTTCATGTGTATTAAGGTGGACTCATTTGTCTCCCATATATTCACATTTCTCATTCTTCTGAGATTTTGTTATTGCAATACATTTCAGTGAGGCTTTAAAAAAAAACACCACATAACACTAAATTCCTTTGTTATTTTAGAATTTCTTCAGCTTTTGACATATCTTCTACTTTCCCCGCACCAATCTGAAAAATCAGCTATTTCTCCAAGGATCTTTGGTTCCAAGATTTTGGAGACCAGTACAGTATTTAGAGACAGAGCTATGAATAAACAAATACATATATTTCAACGTATATTCACATTTAGAATAAACAATTTAAAGGAAAATGTAGGCAATTCAGCCGGGCGGTGGTGGCGCACACCTTTAATCCCAGCACTCGGGAGGCAGAGGCAGGCAGATCTCTGTGAGTTCGAGGCCAGCCTGGGCTACCAAGTGAGTTCCAGGAAAGGCGCAAAGCTACACAGAGAAACCCTGTCTCGAAAAAAACCAAAATAAATAAATAAATAAATAAATAAATAAATAAATAAATAAATAAATAAAAATAAAACCAAAAAAAAAATGTAGGCAATTCTCCAGGTTTTTTTTTTGAAGCAAAGTAAGTATTTTTATAGTTTCATTTTGCAGAAATATTTAAAGACAAAAAAAGCCCTTAAGTTTAGGAATTAACAATTTATGAAAATTTGTTTCATAATTGCATATGAAGATAGGAATAAGACAAAGTAAATATGCATAGTAAAGAATAAATATATTCTGACATAAAGGGAAGAAAGTGGATATATTTAGGATGGAAAGATAAGGTGTTATTAGGCATCATACTTGTTAACAGAAGCTTTTACCCACTCCCAATCCAACACGTAGATTTTATAAACAAGGTGCTCTATTAATGGGCAGCTTTAATTCTTCAAACATATTTTTCCCATTTCCTTTTAGTCCAATGTAATTTGCCAATGACATTTTGATTTGCCATATCACCAACTTTTATCTCATAGACACCAAAGGAAGTATGGAAGAAGCGGCTACTCGAGATTTAATGTTGGTGATATTAAACTGAGAAGAACCCGATTTTCCTCTATAACTGATATGGAACGCAGCCTGTGCCTCTCTTCATGATGTATTTCACATCATGACATACTAGCTGACAACTAGAAACAAGTATTTAAGAATATCCAATATAGATGAGCCAGGAAAATATGGTGCCACATAAAACATATCAGTTATAGAATACCACATAGTATATGATTTAACTTTTATGAAATGTATGGAGTTCAAATCTACAAAGACAGGCAGTAGATAAATGGTTGCTAAGGCTGTGGTATGGGACTGAATAGGTGGATTTAGCTAATTAATAATGGTTTTCCTCTAGTGCTGGTAAAACCATTCTAAATTAAGTCATGATTATGAATTACATATTTGAAAGGGTTAATGCCATGTTAAACAGTTACTACAAGAAGTATGATTGTGCATCATGAATGTCTGCTGAAAACAAATAAAACAAACTCCAAAAGTCTCTTTGCATATCAATGTTCACAATAGTTTTATTCATGGTATCTCCAAACTGGAAACATGTAGCTGTCTGTCAGTAAAAGAATAAATAGATATTACATGCTCTATTATATAACAAAATACAATCTGGTTATAAAAATAAATGAACATTTGACACAGACAAAAACATAGACAAACTGAAAAAAACATGCAAGTTCTAGAATGGAATGATTTGGAAGGTTCTGGAATATGTAAGAATAATCTATGACCATTCAAATCAGAGTAGTGGTTGTTTCCCTGGATCCTAAATTAGGTGAGGTGCCTGACAGATAAATGAAAATGAGTAAGGTAGGGATTTGGAGGAGGCTTGTGAACGCTATCCTACAACTTTCTAGGGTGATGTTTCTTTCTGGTTTTACAGAGGTGTGGGATACACATGAACATTCATTGCACAAATCAGCAATTCTTATTGTAGATCCATGGATTTCTAGAATCTTCTGTTTTAGGCACTATGTTAGATGTTTGAGACCTATTAGTGAGGCAAAAAGGTAAAGCTCATGCCCTATAGAACTCACAGTCTAGTATAGGAAATGAGCCAAACAAAATAAGCAAAGTATACCTTAGAAAGTGGTATTTGCTAAGAAAAATAATAAAATCAGGCAGGGAAATAGGAAATGTTAAAGTATGAAAAATATTGCATTTTAAAAAGGGTGATAGACATGAAATGATCCAGGGGACCAAAGGGGACAAAAGGGACAAGTACTGAAAAGGCAGAGGGGTATAGTGGAATATGATCATTGTATAGTATATATTTGTATGAAAGTGTCATCAAGTAACACATTGCCATGTAGAATGAATATGCATGATATATTTAGTCTTAGGCAGTTACAAAAATGATGCTCATGAAAGGATCTAGTGTGAAGATTACATTGACACAGACCTCAAAGATGGTGATAAGTAAGCCAGACACCTATATAGGAAACAACAGAAACAAGCAAAGAAAATCAATGAAAAGAACCTGCAAAGTCAGTAGAAATATGTAAGACACACTGAAGTCAAATAAGACAAGTTAGAAAGAAACCAAACTGGTAGACAGAGACGAGGTTGAAAAGATTATAATGCATGCCCTGAATAAAGTGGGGAGCCACAGTGCAGTGTCAGGTAGAAGAGTAGGTTCCATGGCATTTCCACATTAGAAACATCAAGAGAAAGGAATGTAGCTACAGAAAGGCAGACAGAAGACGCCCACTGAAGCCCAAGAAACAGATGCTGGTGGGCTGGCTGGTCTCAGAACACACAGAAGGTCCAAGGACTTGGAACTCTTGTAAAGAACCAATAGGACTAGACATTCAGTATAAGAGGATGAAAATGTCTAGAAGAATTTTAACTCTTCCTTCTGTGGTCTTGGGAGGGAAGTGTACAGAAACAGGAAAATATATGGAGAAGAATGATTTTAAGGCATCAAGACCAGGAGATTAGAAGAGCGAGTTAACTACCAGGTGGGACAGGAAAGATGCAGAGTGGAAGCTGCTGTTTTAGCTCTGGAAAAGGCTCTTGATTGCCAAACAGCATATTTCTAGATGATATACAAATATTGTGCTGAGCTCTTAGAAGTTCTGGCTCCTACATTGTTGTGCACAGTGTCCAGGACACAGTGTATAGAACCACTCCTCCCACAAGCAGAGAGATTGACAAACTGAAATTGCATGTAGGGCTTGTTTAAATTTTCACATAATTTTTATATGCAAAGCTCATAGCTATGTGTCCTTGATGTGTGAGCAGTGTGAAGGAGAACATTCATATTTTGAGTTGAAAAGCTGATGAAAGTGCCTCACAGCTTGACTGTAGTGTTTCACTGGGTATCATTCACAACTTTCCTGTAGACTAAATATTTTATATTCAGAATCAAATGCATGAAGTACTAAATGCAATCTATTTCTGGTATGACCAATACCAAAACAGCCCACCCATTTATGTATCAAATAGTGTATTCAAGCTTAAGGCACAAGTTGTAAGTCAACCAGGGCATATCATTGGCTTTGTGTTCTGGGAACAGGAAGCAATTAGAGAGAGTAATTAGTGAGAGTCTACTCTTTTTGTGACACTTATCCATTTTCTTTAAAAATACAAATTACATATCCACAGCAATAAACTTCCACTTCAAAGGTTAAAAAATAGAAACTGGGGAGTCATTCCACCCACAGCTTAGTGACTTTGAACTTCTTTTTACTTTTCCACATTTTAGTTTATACTTCCTCTGTTATGTTAGTTACAAATTTTCTGCTACATTTAGGGTATGAATCTGGCAAGTTCTCAGGATCATGATTAGGCTGACTAACTAGTCAGCAGAGGACTTCAGATCTAACTCCTCTTCACCTATCTCAAAAGCCAAAACACTATATATTAAATTGAATATATTGTTTTAGGCTCTTAAGAAAATATTTAAGAAAGGATAATATGGAAGTTCTTTAGAATAATTGATAAATTCTCCTTAGTGTGGCATGGTATTTGTAACTAAATCAGGAAAGAATTGGATACAGAGAGTGTAGACCCAGCATTCTTGAGCTAGTGCAATGTACATAATTAATTGTAGTCTATGGGACAATGCACATCTGTGTACCATGTGCACACACTGTACCCAAGCATCAGTCAGTAAGTTACACCAGTGGCAGCATTGTTCATCACACTTGCTTTTTGATAAGGTGAAGATGTTTTATAAGTCTGTCTTCATGTATTTAATCATTCCTTATTTCATTTACTATTTATTTCTTATTTTTTTTCTGCCTCCTAGTAGTTCTCTTCATGTTTCTATTAGGTAAAATATTGAAAAGGACACCAAACTTTGTCATGAAGATAACTAATATTGCTGAGTGTGATGGCACATGCATTTAATCCTAGCACTTGGGAGGCAGAGGCAGGTGAATCCCTGTGAGTTCCAGTTCAGCCTGGTCTACAAAGAGAGTTCCAGGACAGTCAAGACTATATAAAGAGACCCTGTTTCAAAACCAGCCAAAAAAAAAAACACACAAAAAAACAAGTAATGATGATGATGATGAGGAGGAGGAGGAAGATGAGATGATATTTTCTTGCAGTTTTCTTTAAATGTCACAATCAGTGCAAAATTCCATAGTAAAACTTCAAGTTTTGAATGAAAACTAAAGTTGCCAGTGTTAAAAGCAAAGAGCAGTAGTGCTGATCCTTCTGTGTGTCATGAATCCTTAGCTTTGTATGTTTTTTAATTAAGTTCCTAAGGGAAGAGCTAACTTTACCTGTCTCTAGTCTGGTCCTATGTCTATCCTTCATGCCTTTTCCTCAGCTTCTAGACAAAATGTTAAGTAAGAATGTACAACTAGCTGGGCGGTGGTGGCACACACCTTTAATCCCAGCTCTTGGGAGGCAGAGACAGGCGGATCTTTGTGGGTTCGAGGTGAGGCCTGGTCTACAGAGCCAGATCCAGGAAAGGCGCAAAGCTACACAGAGAAACCCTGTCTCAAAAAAAAAATGTACAACTAATCTTCCTACTAACCATATATACATATATAACACTAAATCATATATATATAAAACTAAATATATACAATACAATATATACACAGCTTAGTGTTATATATATGTTTAGCATGACAATTAGAATGATTATATATATGTATATATATACATATACATACATATATATATATATATAATAATTTGAACTGAGGTATGGCTCAGTCTCAGAAGACTAGCCTAGCATACACAAGGCAGAAGTACCAAAGAATTCTCATGTCAATCTTTCTTAAATAAAGTAACATATTTTAGCTACATAAACACATGAGACTATGTGTGTTAGGTAAAAATCAATGAGTTTTGCCTATTTGTAAAGCATCATGCATACTGTGACATTTTAAAGAGAGTGACTAGGTTGCATCATTATGAAAGACATGCACAAATACCCCAATATCTTCAGGAGGTGCATCTTAGGAGGGTTCATGCATTAGAATCGAGGGATCTGAATACACAAATAGTCCTTGACTGATTTCTAATAAAGATGATTTTAGTCACTCATGTTGAAACACACACTAAGAACTAAGGTTAAAATAGCTTTTTAAGTTCAATTCACTGACGCTACACAACAATGACTTATTTTTTTTTTTTTAATGAGTTACTAGAGGCACTAGGGAGTGTGGGTATATAAATCCCAACCCAAGTAGAATATAATCTGGAGTGATAAACACCAGACAAATATAACAGTAAAATGAGATCAGATCTGAGGATGGATGTATTTAAGGAGTTCAGGGAAAACTCAATATTCCAGAAAGAAACTGGGTAAAACTTTTCAGTGTTTACTGATACAGAACTGGAAAACAATTAACCCATAGGTAGGAAAAGGAGGTAGTGGAATGAACTGAGGGATGAAAAGAGGAGAGCAATGCCTGATGGGAAAGAATGTGCAGGGGTGTAAAAGAAAGCCAGTAATGGACTTTGGCCAAATAGAAGCACGTGAAAGGAAAAAGAAGGCATCGGATCGATACCACAGGACAGGCTATTGGCATTCCTTGAGTGAAAATAATGAAGGAGCAAACTAGGAGTAAAGGAGTGAGTAATGCCAAGCCATAGAGACCTCTAAATGCCAGAGCAAACAATTCCAACTACTGTGGGACATTTAAAAGCCTTGGAGCTAAGATGGATCGCTGTTGGTACTGTGGTGAGAGAAGATTGATGTACAGAAGGGGAAAGGTACGTTAGTTGTTTCTACAGTCGCGGAGAGTAATAATGACATGAATTGCTAAACTGTGACTAAAAAAAAGGAAAGGTGAGAATTAATAGGAGAGAGGCTTCACAGGCAGCTTGGAGAGTCAAAGCAATTAATTCACTTTGTAAGAAAAATGCAGATAATAAAAATTCCTCTTCAGTTTCCAGTGTGTGGAACAGGCAGGGCATTGGTGCTGTTGAACTGAAATAAGAAATATGGACAGATAAGTATCAACTTGCTAAGAAAGATAATTAGCTCAGTGTCAGACATCAGGCTGGCAGGGGCTGGCAGGGCACCAGGTAGAGAAGCAGAGCGAGTGGATAAGTGATGTTTTCTTCTGACAGAACAGATGCCAGTACCATGGTGCAGCAACATTTGCCATTTGATGTATCCCTCACTTAACCTCAACTAGTTGATGAATTGCAAATGAAGAACAAAGACAGGGCAGGGTTTGTGTCTTGGTGCTTACAAATCCAGGCATGTGTGTGTTTATATTACTCTGTATTATTGTATATTGTATTACATGTATACATTATATACACATATTTATTCCAAATACATATATGTACACACACATAAACACACATGAAATCCTTCACATATCATTCACATCAATGATAAAAAGCTTTTAGATTCCCTAGATGAATTCTCAGAAGATAACTTGTGAACAGTGTTTTCAGAATGTCCTGGATTACTTATAAATGTAATTATTGAGGGTCTATTCCAAGCTCAGTGACTTTTAATCCCTAAGTGTGAAGCTTGAGAGTAAGCATGTGGAACAGTCTGTCCAAAAGGTGATTCTTTAAAAGTTTAAGAAGTGTGAGAGCCTCTCAAATAGTGCTAAGAATTTTAGTTAGCTTTGGGGAACTGAGTCACAAGTTCTTTATCTGTGCTGGATGGGAAGAGCAAAAGATAGTGATAAGGGCTTTGGAATGAAGACATGCATATGTGCTAATTAGATATATGGACTCAGGTAAAGCACATCACCTTATTACATGTAAACTTTGAGGCTTTACAATCAATTAATCTAGAACAGCATCGTGTTCCCTTCTAGCTCTGTAATTGCAATTAATTTGGAGAAATTGGGTCATGGTCAGGAAAACAAATTCTTGTTAATTGCAAATGACAGAAGGGTGAGTTTCTCACTGATGTGACACAACACTGAATGGACGCATAGATAGATAGATAGATAGATAGATAGATAGATAGATAGATAGATAGATAGATATAGATAGATGATAGATAGAGATAGACAGACAGACAGATAGATAGATAGTGCTCAAGGCAAGATGGGAGGCTTATCTGGCTCTCAATATCAGGAGTATCCATCTCCAGAAGTATGGTTCATGTTTCTGTGCTCAAGATGAGCAGTGCATCAAGGATGAAGTGTGTCAGAGCAGAAATGTGCAAATCATGGCTATCAGAAGGCAGAGAGCTTTTGTGCTAGCTGTCTTCTCCTTTTCCCCCATTTACCTCCAGCTTATGCCCACATTGAGGGCATGTCTCCTCCCTCAGGTGATATTCTCTGGAAATGCTCTCACAGATAAACTCTGAAAAATGCCATATGAATCTTCTAGGCAATCCTCAATCCAATTAAATTGACAAGATTGCCATCACTCAACAGCATCAATTTTGATTTTCATTTGTTAAACTGTCCAAACCTCACTCCACATTCTGATTTGTGTCTCTTGATAGACTTAATCGATTGCCAGCTTTTTCTGGCTTAGAAAATCACTAATGTGGCAAGCTATTTTGTGGGAGAGATTAAAGCTTGTGTTTCAGGACTTTATATGATAAGCCAGCACAACTTAATTTTCTTTTTTTATTTTATAATTTAATTTAATTTTACATATCAGCCACGGGTTCCCTTGCTCTCCCCCCCTCACCGCCTTCTCCACAGCCCACCCCCACATTCCTATCTCCTCTAGGGCAAAGACTCCCCTGAGGATTGAGTTCAACCTGGTAGATTCAGTCCAGGCAGGTCCAGTCCCCTAACTTAATTTTCTATTGGAATACATTTGAGAGACAATAATTTTTAAGTTTGTTACACAACATAGCACTTATTGAAATGTATATTAAAATTGATCATAATTTTATATATTTCTACATTCTCAACAGTGAAAGTGCCCACTCTTAATAAAATAGAAATATACAGGTCATAGGTAGGTAGGCATATGATAGATAAATATATATTGATGCATGTTATATATATATAACATATATATGATATATGATAACTAATACATTGACAGATGAAATACAGATAGATAGATAGATAGATAGATAGATAGATAGATAGATAGATAGATAGATAGATAGATAGATAAGAGATTGATTGATGGTGATGGCATATAATGATGAGAATAAAGAGAAATTGGAATTTTGTGTTGTGTTTGTATAAACAGGAGTTTGCGATTAGGTGCTTTGGTGCCAAAGATGACACTATGGTAAACACTATGGTTCTTCTAAAAAATGTTTTTTAGAAACAAAATGATCATATGATACAGCAATTCTACTTCTGAATATAAAACCTTAAGAATTAAAAGGGAGAGTTCTAATAGATAATTGAATACCTGTGTTAATGGGAGTATTAGTCACAATGCCCATGAAGCAAATGTTTCTCATGTGTCCACTAATAGTGAAAAGACAAGCAAAATATAATACATGCATTCTAGCATAACATTTTCCTATCACCATCATAATGATAGTCTTTACTTTTTCCGGGTAGCCATGGCAACTAATTGAACAAAACAAAACAGAGATGGCTGTGGAAATGGCAATAATACTCCCTGGCAGGAAGAAGAAGAGGGCCACAGAACCTTCAACTGGGATTTCACCGTTGTTCCCTTCTGCTGGCCTATATATTGCTCCAAGTGGTCTTGGGAGATGCTATTGTGTACAGACATGGAAAGTCAGCTGAAGGTGGACTCTATGATGCAGCCTCCACAAGGTCACCATCCTTGTCATGCTGGAACCTTTCAGTGATGCACCTACACTCTTTTAAGCAACCCTCCACATATGTTCTGTAAGTAAGCCCAATAAACCCATTGCTTCGCCAAGTTGGACTTTGTACTTTGGCTTGCCATTGGTACTTTATCTGGAGTGAATAGACATTTGTTCACGTATTCCCCAGAAAAGCTAAGACAACAACATGAAGTGGATACAGTTCAACCTTAAAATGAAAGATAATGTTGACACATGTAGTGACATGGATGGATGAACTGTCAGGATACTTTTCTAAGTGATATAAGCCAGTCACAAAAGGACAGATACTGTATGGACCCATTTATATGTGATATTTAGAACAATCAAGTTCATAGAGATGAAAGGTAAAGTGGTAAATGATAATGGACTGGGGGCAGGAATAATGGGGACTTAATGCAGTTTTAGTTTTACAAGACAAAGCTCAGAAAAGGTATAATCGTTGTATAACAATGTGAATCTATTCACTATCCTTTAACTGCACACTTAAAATACCGAAGATGCTAAATTTTATGTCACTTGTACTTTAGCCCAGTTTAAAAATTAAATTAAACCTTTTGATAAAAATGTATGGGATCAACAAGATGATTCAGTGGGTAAAGTCATCTGGTGCCAAGTCTTTGAAGAACTGAGTTGAATCTTCCGGTCCCACATGGCAGAAAGAGAGAACTGCAAGTTGTCTTTTGACCTCCAATGTGACGTACACACACACACACACACCACACAAAACACACACACACACACACCACACAAACACACCCCATATATATACAAAGTAGTACAGTTTAAAAGTTTATGCTAAATATTATTAAAATATTAATATGATGTGACCAAATTATACTGCAAACTCCTTATGATTTCAAAAGTGAATATCTATCATAGTTGCTGATTTATTGAAAATCTATCTTGCATTTAGAGACTCTGATATCTGTTACTATGTTTAACAGAGGATTTTATTTTCTACCAAGGATAAGCATGATTTTATACTGTAACACATTTGTAGCTCCAAATACTCTTGAGGCATTCACTCTTTATTTAGTTATTTCTCAGGCTGAGCTGGTGCTATACTGTAGAGCTATAGAGGATTTTGCAAGATAGATTGATTTAAAATAATGAAAATAATAGTTACAGATATTTAATGAGTGAGGAGAATTTGAAATCAGAAGCTTTAGTGCCTCAAACGACAATGAATTTGGAAGTGTAAAGAGAGAAATATAGGCTGGTGATCACTGCCTTTGTGCTTCATCTGGAGAACTGAATTAAGCAGTTGAGAAGAAAATTGCAGTATAACAAAGAACTCATAAATTAGATGAAGTGGAAGGGAGGGAGAGGGGATGGAAGGAGGAGAGGACTTGTTATGTATTTGAAGGGACAACTAGAAGCTGAGGCCTACAGGGCACAAATGGTGTCTAGACAGGTTTCTGACTACCACTGAGGGATCAGATATTAAAAATGCAAAGAGCATGTTAAAGGCACTTTGTGCAAGGGAAACAAGCAGACAAGCAGGATAGCCTGACATCTTCATTAGAAAATACTCATAGAGAATTATTTTAAACTGTTGAGGCTTATATCACCGTATATCATGTTTTAAAATCCTTGTTTCTCTTCAGTCTCATAGAAGTGCAAACAGTGAATGGTTTAAAGATGTATTTACAGAACCACTTTTTTTCCCCTGCTCTTTGCAAAGTAAATGCCGTTCTGTAAAAATGCTGGCTGCTAAAAGAAGTGTGTTCTGAAGTGCACGCTAGGGCATGTGGGTTTACGGCAGAAAGTGACTAAACACCATTTTCTGCCATTGTTCCCTGGCAGCAGAAGTGTAGATGTGGGAATGACCAGGGAGATGAGAGCATCAAGGGTGAAGGGAAGACTATCAAAGACAAAAGATTTCTGCATTATTCATATTGCAAAAGAGCTGGGCCAGGTGCCACAGGGTAGATCCCTGGTTAGCCAGGAAGCTGGGGCAGGATTTCAAGTTCAAGACTTGCCTGGGTTACAGAGTGGTTCCAAGCCAGACCTTATTTTTAAAACATCTGTTTTTAAATATAAAAGGAGAGGGGCTGGAGACACAGCTCAGTGGGAGAGTTTGACACAGAATGGGAGCCCTTGGGTTCAATCCACAGTAACACAACAGAGACATTAAATTTATAAAACTGTAATAGAAATGGACAAGTAAAGATTTGCAGTCTATAGATGTGCAAAATATACCTTTGAAAATGTTCAATTTCACAAAAACATTCAGAATACAGAAAATTGAGGTGAAAAACTATTCATTCATCATTTCCACCAAATGAAAAACAAAATAGCTCTAATGCCACTTAATTCTAAATTTCTGGCAGGAAGTGAGGGGAATATATGTTCGTATGATTATTCACAGTAGGGATTGGTATGTCTTTAGAGACCATGTTACATAACTATAAATATGCAAATATGATTGACCTCCGACTTATAGTGCCACTTTTAGGACTATGTCTATAAAAAACTAGCACAAAATGCATGTTTATTATTGCCGTTTTGAGGATAAAGTAAACTTCCATGCATTTAACAAGTTCATGGGCTATTTGGAAGGTATAGCAATGGTGTACAGGTCATATATTCTAACCTGAAACAAGTTTATAATATAGAAATTTAAAAAGATAAAGGCACAATGTGCCTTTTTTGTTAAGATAATCCAAATATGAACCAGGGACCAACAAGAGGGCTCTGTAGTCAGAAGGGCTCAGTGCCAAGTCTGATGACCTCGTCTGATGACCTGGGTTCAATCCACACAGTGGAGGAAGAGAACCCACTCTAGCAAGTGTCCTCTGATCTTCATTCAAGAATGGTGGCAGGTGGCATGCACTTTCCACAAACACACAAATAAATAAATATAAGGAAAAACATGACTCAAGCTAAAATCCTTGATGCATATGTGAACTTATTTGTATACACCGTCTGATTAAAGGGACAGGAAACGTGAGAAAACCACGTGCCCCACTGTCAGTGGACGCTGACCCTGGGGGTAAAACGAGGTGAGCAAAGTGAACCGATTTTAGAATTCTAGTAGGATTATGAGTTTATTTTTTCCCAGCAGAATTTTTAGGAATACATGGCATTTTCCAATTTGCAAAAGTTTTAAAGTAAGAACTGAGCAAACGGTCAGTGTTATTAAAGTACTTCCTGTCCAAGAATCCCTGAGCACAGTGGGGACTCTGAAGTCAAGAGTTCCTAGGCAGGTTTTCCGCTTGAGTTCAAGAGTGTGTGTTGAAGCAGCCCTAGCCACAGACTCGTGGGGCTCCCAGGAGGAAACCGTCATTGTTGCAAGAAGTCAGTGAGTAGATGGCATAGAACTGAGAGTGGTTAATGAGAAGAACTTGAGTCATTAAGGATTCTGTCCTGGCTTCAAAATCCAGTTTTCACTATGAAAAAGAGCAATCTGAAGACCATGCACTCTGACAAACAGTGTCATCCTTACACACACATGGCACCTCATTATTTTGATCAGCATCTACTCCACACACATTTTTTTTTCCTCTGAGCATCAAGACAAGAACGTAGCTGTAGCCTGCTTTGTGTGCTCCAGAATCTGACATACTGAAACGCCAGTTAAAATGCCAGTGAATATTTAAGAAGTTCTTAACTCTAGATTTCTCCTTCTCTTTTTGAGTAGATACAGAATCAACACTGAATTTTATTCAAAAATCCACAAGGGTCATTAACTAAAATAAGTCTTAAAAAGAGCTATCAGAAATACCCATCAAACACAAGGGATGGACTACGAGACTGCAGAATGACTACATGGATGCTGCCTCTCTCTTTCTCCCTCTGCCTCTCCTCTTTAGACTGTGTGATTACTAACACCTACATAAAAACTCTGATTTCTGGAGAGACTGAAAACACACCAATGTGATCCAAGCTGCGGCTGCGGGAGTGGGGGTGGGGCTTGTGCTAAAGTGAATCACATTGTTTAATGCCATCATTTGGCAAGATGGCAAAAGTAGCTAGCACATTGCCAGCTCCAAGCCCAGCACTGTGACAACCCACTGCTTGGCCTCTCACAGCCCAGGGCTGCTTAGTTTTTCTGTTTTTCTCAAGGAGTGTTCAGCTTGATAATTCATTTTTTTTTTTTTGTAATAAGGGCCTACACCAGATTTTAAAGCTATACACCCAGTCCGTTTATCACCAAGTTGTTCACTGAAACTCATTTGATCCATCTTTCAGCTTCAGGCTTATTATGTTTACTCTACTTTGGCATTTCCACTCAATGCCAAATGATATTACAGAGCTGAAAGAGGAGGGGAAGGGAATAACTAGAAGAGAAAATATGGCTCCCATGGGTTAGTGGTACCTAAGACCAAGATTAAGTATAAACACAATTGTACCGTGGTTGATATTTGTGTTCTATACATGGGCTTTCCCCTGCTTTGTATAACTTGGTCTGTATGTATTCACTTCTTAAAGTCTAGCATTCATTAGCTAGTCTCCATCCTAGCCCCCAAAATCTGAGCAAGCAATGCACTCTAACCTTGGCTACTTATAGAACAAAGCTGACCAGGCCTTTTACCCTGATGTCTTGGGGGTCAGAGGTGTTCACATCTCAATATGCCCCTGCAAACATGCACATCCATCTGGCACTCATGGTTCAACATCTCATCATTCCTTGTTTAGAGCCACAGATACGTTTGGCTTTGTTTGCTCACCATTATGCCAAGCCCTAGGTTCCTGGATCATTACTTATATATCAGTGATATGGGTGGACACATAAGCAGATTTTAAATAGCTCTCCAGATACTTTCAGGAGTTACATCATCAGCACAATCCTTGGGTTTAGGGAGACTGTATAATTAATTATCATGTGGGAATTCTCAAGAGAGAAAGGTGATATAGTGAACAGTGCTGAAAGTGTTGGGAAAATGAGACCATCTTAGGCAAACCAAAATGCATGGCTCCCTGACCTATATCCCCCATTTGCTCTTTGAAGACTTCTTCTACCTTCTTTTGCTCATTAGGACCTGCTTCTCCTCTGGGGAACTGTGAGGCTTCTACTTGTCTCACTTGGTGCTGTTTTCCTTTGCTACAACATTCACACCATCAGGGTGGATTGGAACCTTTTCATTATTCCAATACTCCTGGATGCCTGCCACTGACATCCTCTAGTCTTCCAGCTCCTGTCACCAGACTGTACTACCTGCTACTCATCTGCTCATCCCCTCAGCTCTCCTTGGTTTTACTATATGGTTTTCTGTCACTCTTCTGTGTGCCAGCTCTCTGTGTATTTTTGGATCTAGACATTCTTTTCCAGTAACTGATTTCCCAGTCTCTTGTCTTCCTCATTGCCAAAGAGTGCTTTTCTTTTTATTCCAGTCAAGCACTCCCCCACACCGTGCCATCTTTAAACACAGCAGCAGCGCTCTTAATAATCTCAATTTCAAATGTGTCCTCTCAGAACCAACCTCATACTACTTTGAACTCTATTATTCTAGCCTACAGAACCCATCATCCCCTCAGTCTCATTCTGACCTGTAATTGATTGTTCCTACCATCTTCTTGGTGTCCTTAGTTTTCCTTTGTGATCACATTCATATGCAGATCAGAATCCATGACAGCAATAATAATAATCACTTTTGTTTGTGCATAATCAACTCTGTTGTCCCTGTTGTTTTTTCTGATACTTATTTATCTGACACCAGATCTGGTGAAATTTACCATTCCCATTCCGTGTTTACTCTCAGGCAGCTGAACAGGACAGACAGAGGGACTAACTGTGCTGATGTACTGCATTACTAGTTGCATCCACCATTGTAAAATAATGCTTAGTCTTATCTAGGAAGTCTGCTGACCCTAAGTTTCTTCCATTTTCCAGAATTTCCATCCCTATTGCTTTATTCCCCAAATTTCCAAACTAAGACGAAGACCTAGGTTCTTGTTTATTTGTGTAAATAAAAAATAGTAATAAATGACCTCTGTGAAGGATGTCACCGCATCCTTCTATCACCCACATGTGTGTCTGTCTGCTGCCTCTTCTTTCTTCCAGTTTTGGATGGATTGTGCTAATTCTCAGTCCTCCAGTTGAAATTTACAAAGTATCTCCTACTTACGTTTTCCAGCAATTCTGTCATCTCTCTTCTGAAACATGAATTTCCTTCCTACTTACAATCCCTTCACTCTACAGACATGGTACCCATCTACATTAGGGATTTCTCAAAAAGTCCCTAAACCTGGATGGGTGGCAGTGGCACATGCAGTACTCGGGAGGCAGGGCCAGGCAGATCTCTGTGAGTTGGAGGCCAGCCTGGGCTACAGAGTGAGATCCAGGACAGGCACCAAAAACTACACAGAGAAACCTTGTCTCAAAACCAAACCAAACCAAAACAAACAGTCCCTAAACCTCTCATCCCTCTCAGAAACCACATGTCTCAACATCCTGTTAGGCAAACTTTTCAAAGAACGTGTCTACTAGGATTGGGTGTCATTGGTATAGCACTTCTTACCATGGAAGAGGCCCTGGGTTCTACCCCAGAGGAAAATAAAGCAGCTTTTTCTTCCTCTACTTTTTTTTTAAAAGCAAGAAGTATAGTTTTATTTTCTCTATGATGTGTAAAACAATTAGGGCCAACATTTTAAAACAAAAATGAAGAAGCCCCACTCCCTGTGGGGGGAAAATGACATTGAAATGGGGACAGAGCTGTGGAGATGGGTCAGTACATTAGCCCCGATGAGCTAGAGCAGCTCTGACTGGTCCAAGAAGTGAAGATACGGGAAGGACATAGGAGGGAGGCAATGGATGACAGTTTACTAAGCACGTGGGCCCCGAATGGACAAGGTGGAAGTGGGAGCCGTGGAGTGAGTCTGGGTGGAGGGAGGGGTCCCTGCTGGTAGTCATAGGGAGGGGTTCTCAGAGGACCAGTGTATCCATGAGCGGACTTCAGTGGAGGAGGCCCATGCATACTGTGTAGAGGGATGGGACGTGCATGACCCACGGGAGATGTCAAAGGAGGCTCCGGTCGTGGCATGCCCATCAGAGGAGGTCCAGGATGAGGCATTCCCGGAGGTGGCTCGGGTGTTGGCTGCCCCTCAGAGTCTAGAGGCCCACCCAGCGTGAGTGTCCTAGGCCATGGGGGGCTATGGTGAGCCAGCTACATTGGGGAAATCCCTAGATGGTGCATCCCACCTGGTAGGACTAGATGAGGATGTGAATGACCGTGACTAGGATGCCCAGCTCCTGCAGTTTCTACTTCTGGGGGGAGCGCGTCCTCCAGCTCCAGCTGGCATAGGTGGTGGGGGCATGGCTGTGGGTATCCCAGGAGGGAGGGCTCCAGGAGGCGGCACTGGAGGTGGGAAGGAGCCATGAGGAGGCATGCCTGGTGGGGGAAGCCCAGAACCCAGGGATGAAACCACAGGACTCGGGACACAGGGTGGAGGGGGTATATCTGCAAACAGCTGATGAGGGCAGTCAGCCTGGAATAGTGGGTTCTGGGCTGCTAGAAGTTGTTCAGCTGCTGAGCCATGACACTTGCCCATAGAGTCCTTCTTGAAGGTATAAGACACAGTGATAGGGTGATGATGAAGTTATGGCTCATTCATGGCTACAGTTGCTGTATCCAAAGCATCAAATAAAGCAAAATTAATGAAGGCATAAATCTCGGAGTTGCCTGTTCCAGGGTCCTGCATAATTTTGGGGATGGTAAGATGACCGCAAAGATGCTGAAAGAATCATGAAGCAGCTTCTCATAGATTTCTGGGTCCAGGTTCCCAATGAAAATGTTGGCTCCTACATTCAGGTTTTTGTTGTGAGCTGAAGCCTTTGCCCACTCCTATCAGCTTCCCATAGAGTTTGATCATATTCATAATCTTAGTGCATAATCAGCATCTTCCTCACTCAAGAATTCAACAAAGTCATAGCCTTGCTGCTTCATCAAAATGTAACTTCAGTCAGATTACATTTCTGTTAAAAACCCTCTTGAGCTTCCTAATCCTCGTAGTTGAAAGCCAAATCAGAATATTCTAGACAGTCCTGCATTACTATGAAGTAAACTCTACTATGCACAAGAATCATTCTCAAATCTTGTAACCAAGGTCCACTTTCAGAGGACTTGGGTGGGGCTGAGAGTCTGTGTTTATCATCAACTCTGGGGTGGGGTGGGGCTCTTGCTGTCACCTCAGAGGGCCGTGCTTTAAAGAAGAAGACCCTGTGTGACTTCCTCCACTTCACCTTTTGATTTTCTAACTCTCTGCTCTCGATGAATCTCTGCTACAGATGCTGGAGGTTTACTTCACCAGGTCACATTCCCTTTCATAGTCTAGGAAAATCCGGGCATTGCCCACCTTGGAACCTTTGCACTGGCCGACTCTCTGTCTAAAAATATTTTGCCTAGAAACACACCACTATTTCTCAATCTCTCTCTGTGTCTCTCTTTGTCAGTTTCTCTGTCTCCCTTGGCCCCCACACACTGCTTCAAGTTTTTATTCCAGTGTCTCCTTCACAGTGAAGCCTTCCTTGGTTACCAGATCTAAGGAGCTGGAATAACAGCTTGTCCATACCCCAAAGCTCTGCACTTTCTTTCTCTTTAACTTTCCTCACTCCTGAACACACAATAGTTTTTTTTCTTTATTGTCTGCCTCCCTTGCTAGAAGGTTAACTCCAGGGAAGCATTTGTTCCCATTTCTCTTCACCAATGTGACAACTGCCTGATACACAGAAGGTACTCAAAAATAACCGTTCACTTCCTGAAAAAAATTCTCAGTTGCATTTCCCAAATCATATCTTTTGAATACTTATGCAAAAATCCCCAGGCAGAACACAGCAACATATTAGTTTTAGTTTAATTAGGATGGCTCAGTCCACGTGACTGTCTTACAAGAATATGAACTCTCCACTTACTGTTCGTTTACACAGATGTCTCTGGCACAACAGAACAAAGATACCTGAGGGGATCAGGTTATGCCTTCCAGGAGGGGAAACTGGTAGCTCAATTAAGAACAAGTAGCGCCCAAGACATTAATGAGATCTATTCAAAGTTATAGATTGTGAGGACTGTTCTACCCAGCGACGCGGGTTTCTCTGTGAGGCAGTTACTGCAGATATGGATTTCTGTTAGAGATACAGCTGAAGGACTTTTTTTCTTTTTTCTTTTTCCTGCCTCCACAAATTAGAAAGCAGTGACAGTGAAGAGGAAGCAGCTATGTGAGCTGTGCAAGGCCAGTTTCTGGACAAAGAACCCACAGTCAGGCTTCATGTCTTACAGGTCTGGATTTCAGAACCTTCGATGAACTTTGACAGATCAAGGAGGTTATTGTTTGGTGGTTGATTTTCCTTTTTTTAGTAAAACTTGCCTTAAACCTTACAAACTGAACCCAAATACACTTTATTATTATGGCCAATCCTGTAGCCAGTCAAGTTTCAGCTGCTTCCAATTTGGGGAAAGAAATTTACAAACGCATTTGGCACAGGTTTGCTTACTCATCATGTCAGTCCTCATTACCCTTCCATAAAAGGCAGAAGACAACGTCTCAGGACTGGACTTCCTCTAACTTTCCTAATCAGCCAACTCTCAGGAAATAGAAATTGCTTTCTACTTCTCATACTGTGCTTCTTTTTTTATTATACCATAATTATAAATTAAAGGAGGAAGCAGTAAATGATAGAGTTTTGTAGCTACAAATTCTTCATGTGTCTATTCTCTTGTTAATCTCCCAAACTATCTTAAAAGATAGGTTTCTGCCTCTGCTCATATTATTTATTGAAGCTTTACATATGTCATATTATTTCATCTTTATTATTTACATATCTTTAGGTTTTGGAGATGGAATCTTGCTATGTACCCTAGGCTGGTCTAGAACTCACAGTTCTCTTGCTTTTGTCTCCCAAATGCTGGGATTACAGAAGAAAATCAACATGAGTGGCTTTATTTAATGTTGACAAAACCTGTGTAACCTAGGAATTCTTATCATCATGATGAAACTCTCAAGGCCCAGGGAGATTCTAAAATATACGTGACTATTTACAGAATTTATTCAAAAAAAATCAAGCTATCCTCAAATCCAGGATGTGAGGACATCTCAGCTCATGTTTTTTTCCCCACTGGGATTATTATTGTCAATGAGTGAAGTGAGAGACATTGAGAAAAAACTATGAAATGTACATTGTCTCTTCACTCTATTAAAAAAAAACTTATGATATCTATCACCATTTAAATCATGTTTTATATCTCTTTTGTCTTCCTTACCAGACTCCAGCTCATGAGCCCAGTGACCTTTTCTGTAATGCTGAACAAATCTCTACTTCATATCTAGGGGCCTGGTACATAGCTAGTATTTAACAAATATTTGGAAAAGGATACACTGATGCATGAGTGACTGCATATGTTGGTTTTAAAATACTTTTTTGAGATTATATATGTCTGATGAAAGAAAATGTACTCTCTCTGGGCAGCTTTCCCTACTGAAATGTAGTACAATTACAAAATACGAATTTTTATCTATACTAATCTTCAAAAATAATATTTCTGTTTTTTTGCAATAGAAGGTGATGCTGGGGGATGACTGAGGGCTTCATCTACACTGAATACACACTCCTGTGTGAAAGTACTCCTCCTGGCCTGTAAGATTCATTTTTGGTGGCCAATAATATGAAGGAAACATATTTCTTCCAACCCTTTAAAAGACTAATAAGAAGCTCAAATGAACTCCCATTCTGTGAGTACCTACATGATAAACCCAAAACATCCACCCTTTCCTCCTTCCCTCAATATACATGCTTAACCACATACTGGTCCACAGTCCACTCCTAGCCTTCTACTCTGTCGATGCCATGTTAATCTTCCAGGAGCCAATGGTCCTTTTGACAAAGACAAGAAAAGTCATATTTCATTTTTTTTTGGTTTTTCGAGACAGGGTTTCTCTGTGTAGCTTTGTGTCTTTCCTGGATCTTGCTCTGTAGACCAGGCTGGCCTTGAACTCACAAAGATCCACCTGCCTCTGCCTCCCAAGTGCTGAGATTAAAGGCGTGCACCACCACCACCTGGTGAAAAGTCATATTTCCAATCAACACTTTGGTCTTTAGATTTGGCCAACACTTTGGATTTATATAATGAGGGCAAAGACATCAGACAATTCTCTGAATAGATCAAGATCATGCACTTCCTTCCTTAAAGGCTACTTCTGACATGCTAAGAATGTTCACATTCTCATAAGCATTGTTAATATTTGTAAAGAAGATGACATAATCAGCATCCATTCTCAAGACAATGACACAAATATGGCCTCAGCAAAGATGATTTAGGTTGATCCCAGAGGCTGAGAGCCATACTGGAACAGGAATAATAAAATCCTCCTCCAGCAGTGTGCTTGCCCTCTGAGCAGGAAGCTCAGACTTGGGGTCAGAATTATTCTGATATGGAAGGTCATAAAGAAAAAGTGAGCATTACTATTTCTGTTATTGATATTCATTCATTTGTTTGTTTGTTTATTTGTTTATTCAATGATCACCTAATGAATGCCAACCAGAGTAAGCCACTGGTTATAATTTTAAGCAAAATTTACCCAGTTCTTTCATGGAGGCTATTGGGAGCTGAATTGCTTGTGTATGTTTATAAATAAACTACATCCAGAATGAAGAATAGCTCTTATTTTTTTTTACAAATGTGTAAAAGCCTTTCTAAGCCTTTTAAATATATCTACTTCTAAATGGTGGTTATAGAAAAATAAGCAGATAAAGATTTTCACCTTGGAAAACAGAAACAGTCATTCACAGGAATTGTATTTGTGGACAAGATTAAATTTTTCTTCCAAATAGCTTTAGATAATCACAAGCAAAGATAAAGTTTTAGTCTTAAAAACAAATGCTGTGTAGAAAGCACCTTGAGTCATTTAAGTGAATTGGATAACATTAATGATATTTAGAATGGGATTTGGGAAAACTTATTTAGTCATCGTGTTTGTAAGTCCTTAATCCTTTTCTGAACAAAATGACAGCATCAGCTTTTAGTTTTGGATTTCCAAGGGGAAGTTATTTCCAAGGGAAAGACATCACAGGGGACCTAGAATTTTCTCTATGAGAATATGAGTTGCATGAGACCTTCCTTAAAACAATAAAAATATAATTTACCTGAAAATTCATTGTCAGAATTATAATAAAAGAGAAAAAGAAATGTCAACTTAGCCATGACCATGTTGAAGACAATCTGCTAAAGACTATGAATGAAGTGCATGGTACCTTTTGGATGCCTGCTTGGGACTCCAGAACATTGTTCTCTGACCCATTGCTTCGGTTGATCATTCTCCACATCTGGGAATACATGCTGTCCCTCTCAAAAGGATTCAGCCCCTTCATGCGGACATGCTGATACACTGCAGAGTCCAAGACTGTGCCGTAAGGGATATCTGTTTGCTTGGACAGATCCTGAAGAGACCTTGGTTATTGGGAGAGAAGAGAGACATAAGAAAGAGTGCTGAGTATTGTTACATAGAATACAACTGAAGAAACAAAAGGGCCATTCACCCAAAGCCAGACACGAAACAACTTTTCTTAACTTCTGGTTTCTTAATATTGAAATATAATGTTTAAGAAGAACTGCTTTAAGTTACAGACCACAAGTTATCAAGATACAACATCATTAGCAAAGTGAAGGTGAAGGTTTTAGTACTAATGCTTTCGCTGTGTGTAGAGGCTTCATGGGGGAAAATTGAGCTATCTCATCAAAGTAGAGGCAAATTAGTAGTGACAAATTAAGTTGTTTGTCTGTCTCCCTGTGTGACAAGGCTTTAAAGCTTTTATAACATAATTGTGTTTTACATAAACAGCATGTTTTGAAGTCTAATAAATATGTAAAATTTAGTATTTATGATAGACATTATTGCATGGATAATATATAATGACAAGCAAGTGACATATATTATCCACACTGGAATGCCTTACATTCAGAACTATTTCACCCAGGTTCCAGATAAGATAGGTTATGAGATTAAATGGGCAGTGTGACATAGCCAATGAGGAACAGAGCCAGGATTCAAATACAGGGCATGAGACCCTGAAGGTCATGTTTCCACTTGAAGGTGCTGGTGTTTCTCTGTTTCCTTGGTTATATTTTTTCTAGTGTGTGTGTGTGTGTGTGTGTGTGTGTGTGTGTGTGTAGAAAAGGGTGAGGGGGGAAAAGAAGAAAACTGGGAAAGGAAGAAGACAAGGATGAGCAGAGCAAGGAAATAGACAAAGACAGTTAAAAGACTGCTTTGGTCAGTTAGGGCTGTCTCTTGACCATTGCCAGTAATCTATTGTGGAGGAATTTTTGTGGATTTCTGTGGACTTCTCTAGTACTTTGCTTCTTCCTATTCTCATGTGGTCTTCATTTATCATGGTCTCTTATTCCTTGTTCTCCCTCTCTGTTCTACTCTGGTGATAGGATGGCCAAACACCCTAATTGTTGTGCTAGAAACCTCATCCAATGTTGAGGGAACTGGATGCAGAGATCCATGGCCAGGCCCCAGGTAGAGCTCCAGGAGTCCATTTGGCAAGAAAGAGG